GAATGTGAAATCATTATTTCTTCATGACAATAATTATTATTAAACGTAAAATAAATTATAAAGTACATTCAAAAGTGTTGATTGACAAGGTCAATGCCTCAACCTTGTAACATGGAATAGTGCGCCGTTTTGTCGGTCAAACAAAGTTGGAGATATATCCGCACGGATCATCGATTGATCGCTGCTACATTTTTTCCCCGAACACAGAACCCTTACCCCGCCCCCATCTGCCCCACAAAATTCGGTCACGTGCATGCCTTCCCATCAGCCCGTATATCCCTTTCTTACTTGTCCAACTCTCACAACACATTGTTCATTTCTCGCTCTTCTTGCAAATACACTCGCACTGTCGCACACGCATACGTTTTACTTTTTTCACAAGCGTACAACGTTATCTCGAAGAGAGAGAGCGAAGGCAGCCTTTTCGGAAAAGGAGCTACGAAAAAACGTGTTTATATTATATATAGTGTACATTATAACAGTAAAGAAGCAAAGAAATTTACGAAAGAAAGAGGGAAAAACAGCCGAGACTACTTCGCGCTCTTCTTCCCTCCACCCACCACCTCCGTATCACCATTCTCGGGTCGCGTCGAAAGCTCGAGGATCTCAAAAGCCGCCTGGTGCTTTTTTTTTCCTGAATGGCACCTTATGTATTTCAGGTCCGCGGCAAAGATAAAGTAACAACACACGAGTGCAAATGCCGTCACCTGCTTTCTTATCTGCCCGACTACCTGCCAGCGGCTGAATCCTCGATACAATACAAGGGCACTAAGCTTTTTGAATATGTGTGTCAGTGTGCTATCAGCCGCGAATATCTCTCCATCGAAGAGGTCGGTCGATCGATTGTTCGCCTTATCACTCTTTGGTCATGTGTGACGCCCTGAAGAACTGTTCTCTCTTTTTTTTTTTTTTTTTTCAGCTTTTACTAACGCTTTCGTCATATTGTTACATTGTTCTTTCTTCTTTCATTCGAGATGAACCGCGCCTAGGGTAAATCCGAATCTTTTCAGCTGTCGTCGTTGCAATGGTTTCTTTTATTGCTGCGAGAACTCGTGTTCGTCAAAATTGAAAAATCAATGACTTTGCCTTTCCAACTTTTTAAATAAAGTTGTATTCGACATCGAGTGCATTGATTTTTTTTCTCCTTTGTAAGGGTGTTGTGAAAATCTTTTGTTTCGAAGAATACAGTGTCTTGTCTGTANATTTTAAAAAAATTGTTCAGTGCAAGAATTATTTTTTTAAACGATTGACATGTCTGGTCTATAACTGTGATTCTTTTGTCTCTCTGAAAATGAGAGCACGTAGACAATGTAATGGTGTCTACAAAGGTGTATTAAATTATAAATTATTTGACATTGTTTTGGGTATAACCATCACTCAAGTTTCGAAGAATACAGTGTCTTGTCTGTAGGTAAACTTCAATGACAAAACAGTAATGTTAAATTAAAAATTTTAATAGTTAAAAGTAAAGCAAAATCTGACATAATTTAATTTTAATGCAATAAATCTTAAACTTCGCGACGAAGCGTACTGAAAGTTAATTCTGAGCTAAAAGAGTCAATGATCTCGATGGACGGGAGTTTGCGGCTCAGAATTATTTTTCAAGAGTCTTAAAGTGGGAATTATCGCTGCGCAACAACAAAGACCCGCATTTTCGTCTCTGCGAGTGTTTTAAAAGTAATACATCTAACTCTAAACTCTCGTCGAAACGTGATATTTGTAATTTTCCTTCATTGATGATAAAGTAGTCTTTGATTTATTTTACATATAATGTCAAGACGAGTTAACAGTTTTTTTTCTTCATTTTTTTCCTTCAAATGACATAACATAATGTCTAGAAATAACGTCATTTCAATAATAAGCTTAGCTAATATTATGGTGACATGATTTCTTTTTTCATGGTTTTTAAGTGTGTTTTAAAATCTTTTTTTTTTTTTATTAAAGACACTGACGCATGGCACGATACGAAAATCCTTTTGTAAGAAAAAGAAAGTTCACGAAAGACCAGTATAGGAAATAAGCACAAAAACAGTTTAAAGCAAAAAATATAAAAAGGAATGCGACCTTGAATTTGTTGCCCCGTTCCCTTGACCACCCCTTTTGAATCTTTAAGAAAGAAAATAATATTTACAGTTATGTATAGCGAGCTAATTGTAAACCACTAGGGTGAGCGGTGAAACGGAGTTTGTAATAACTAAAAACAGAACCAAGTCGGAAGAGTCGTTAAGAAGCTAATGCTTGAAGGTTCTTAGAAAAGGATTTTGCTTCCACTTGCCTTTACTGCATTAAGCACACTGGCCTAGTAGATGACTCTAATAACTTTAGTGTGGACCTCACTACAATAGAAGTTTTAATAATTATGAATAACTGAGCGACTCTGGTTGACTCGTTTTAATCGTTTTTTTTTTTTTTTTTTTTTTTTTTTTTTTTCTTTTCTCGCAGTTCGTAAAAGTAATAGTAGAGTCGATGGTTAATCGAGTGGCAGGAAGGGGTTGGCTAAGAAAAAAGTAGGGGAAGGGGATGAGGATGACAATGTGCCAGGAGGTAGGTTATCTTAAGGTGACGACTTTTCAGATTAATTTCCCCAGAAGGTATCCCATTACGACCATGGCAACGGCAATTATTATACTGGTGGTCGACATCGGCAGCGGGTTGCTAGAATTTTGCAACTGGGTCAGTCCTGACACTGAAGCCAAACTCATGTCTTTGCCCAGTGCCGCGTTTTTCCATTTCATTACTTCCTCCTAAATAATCATCACATATTAGTTAAATGTACAATGCACCGTTTATTTTATGCTAAAAAGTTTAGTTATACCTTCAATTGAAGATTTTCCTGCCTGAGAGTACTTTCTTCTACCCTAAGTTGATTCACTTCATGCGCTGCTTTTAGTAATTTTTCTTCGGTTTCACCAATCGGCTAGACACGAACAAAACAATAACAGTTACAAATAAAATACATATGGTTAGGATTCACTTTCAAGAGTATACATTTGATTTTTTTTTACTCAACTCTCAAATGTAGAAATCTGAGCTCAGTGTGATCGTGGGCCAGAGAAAGAGCAAAAACAAAGTGTAGCGCAACATTTATGTCAACTGTAAACTTAAATGGCAAAGAAGAATGTGAAATCAATTTACATAGCCAAAAAAGTTTACAGCTTAAAATAATTATAAAAAGCTGTTGAAGCCACCTGTTCTTGCCAATTATTTGGAAAATAAAAGTCTCAATGTGAGAGCAAGCTCTCTTTCCTGCTAACCTTCCTCTCTTTTACTCTCAGCACGATCACACTAAACTAAGCTGCCTACTATTTGTAGCACCAATTTAGTGAAATTTTGATGAAAAACAAAGTCTAATATTTTGCCAAGTTAAATTACCTTTGGTGACAATTTGGCTGCTTCACTAGTAGGCTTGCTCTTAGCATCAGTGGAGTTCGACTCTGGTTTACTCGTTGTGGTTGGCTTAGGTTTAGTTGAAGTAGTGCTATCAGTTGGATTCACAAAAACACATTTGAGTTTTGTGTCCATTAATTGATCAGGGTTGATGTCTCTCCACTGCAAATGTAAATAATTATTTGCCAGCACTCAAAGAAGTTGTAAACAATAAAAGTTACTTTTTTAATAATAAAACTGATTGAGACTGTTGCCAGTAGACTATTTAAATATTTGTTCTAAAGCAAAGTCTGAAATAATTTTAGAAATACATTGGATACATGCCCAAACTACTTAAACAGATATATGTATTTTTGGTGTTGAGAATCTTTTAGGTTCTATTAGGTATTATTTATATTTGTCAACGGTTAATTGGCCCTTTGATGACATTGACATTAAAAAAATAATACAAAAATTAAAAAATTTACGTTGGAAGAAAAAAACTTACAATTCTACACGGATCCTCATCTGGATCATCATTTGGAGCTACAATGCTCTGAACCATGAACTTGTGCTTACTCTTTTCATTTGGATCAAATTCATAAGGTTGTAAGCAAACTAGAAGAAAAATCAAGAGCAACGTAAAATGAACAAGTTACATAAACAATGGCATAAAAATTATTCAATTCCATACCTGCTATTTCACATACTTCTTTAGGTTTTATTATTCCAGAGTTTGGTCTGACACAATACCTTTTTGGAGCAGTGGTTTTTATTTTAAAATAAACCTTTTGATTGCTTGTTGGATTTGTTAATTTCATGTACGCAGCAACTGGAGCTCCTGTAAATGGGCCTGCAAGCAATCATTTCAAATAACGTTATTGCATTTGGTGGTGGCTTTTACAGATATTATAAATTATTTGACATTGTTTTGGGTATAACCATCACTCAAAAATCTAATTGTTTTGTATAAATATCATTAAATTGAATTGCGATAAAAATACTGTTATCTGTGTTTCATTATAGCAATGACTGTGTTTAAAGTTCATTTCAAAAACAAAAACATAAAAAAGCATCAATTGTGAATGATGCGAAACTTCTTGTGCAACTGTTACAGCAAAATATTCGTAACGTGTAAGTTAGTCGTGTCGATAGAAGATGAATAAACACAGGTGATGAAAAAATTACTAACAAAAAAAACGGTAAGAAGCGACGAGCTGGAAGCTCTGACAAGGCAAAACAAACGGAACTGCCGAGTCATAACAGCTAGACTGCATCTGTTTTTGGAAAGCGAGACGAAAAGCGGTGACTTTGCAAGCATAATATCCGGTAAAACGAGAAAACAGTTCAGATTGCAAGTGGGAGTCCAGCCAAAAAAGTTCTCGTACACGCATAGAGGAAGAAAACGCGTGTTCCTCATGATTCACGCATCATACGTAAATTCACGGGCGATAGGTAGGCATTGCCATTTTTTTTTTTTTCCTCAATCCGGAGCAGCAGATCATCGAGTTTAAAAATAAGTTCATTCTATCGCGACTCAAGTGCCTATAAATCAATATGCTCGAAAGGCATATTTCTGCTAGTGTACCAAAGCTCTTGAACTGAGAGGAAAAAAAAAAAGAACCCAGCGGGTCGACTCGAGTTTTTAAAAAATAACGTCGGTTACAGGTGCAGAAGGGGGAAGAGGCGAGGGAGGAGTGCCCTCGAGACAATCAGCACCATGAACCGTGTCCTCGGGCGTTAATAATTCTCGGAGCTGCACCTCAACCTCGCCCGGGCGAGGATTTGCTGAGGGTCGCGCTTATTAACGTCATGGGTGCTCATCCCCGAGAGGCGCGCGTGCCTGATGAGGACCGATGCGTAAAACGTGCTCTCCCAGCACTGGGGGGGGGGGGGAAGGAGACACTCACCGCGAAAGCACAGCTCGTTCTGCGGGTCGATGATCAGCACCTGCTCCGACTTGTTTGCCATCCTGACGGTTAGTCCAGCGGCTGCACGTTGCCTTTATTCTTTCTTCTTGTTGCCGTGTCTCCCGTCTCGCTGACGCTCTTTCTCTGTCTCGGCTACGTAAGTATAATATTTTATCGAGAATAATAGGAGGTTAGGGGGCTGTAGTAGTGCCTGTGTAACAAGGCGGGCGAGCCGAGCTCTCTGTGTCTCTACGACTGAGGCGTCTTCTTTCCAGAAGATGACGTCGACGACAGTTTCGGACACCACTTGTACCTTGTACTGTATGTATGAGCACTATATTGCACACAGTCGTGTCTCACACACGGACTATCTGAATATCTAAAGTCCGATCGGGTGATGATTTAGTCAGTTGTACCGACGCCACCGACCTGACACGCGAATCTTTTTCACTCTTCTCACTCTCACAATATTAGACTCAGACGGTAGGTCGGTAGGTGTACTGAAACTAAACTTACTAAACTTACTTAACTGAACCGACAGCCGAGGAACCGAATGATGCATTCAATATGTACGTCCCACACACACACTACACCTGCGACTACACTCATGAACAACGGAGGAACGAGAGACGATCAGAGATTACGAGAAATACAAGAAGAGAATTGTATACAAGAACGAGGCTGTATTCCGCAAATGCTGCCACTGCCAGCAGTTAAGTTACGTAGGTCGTGGTAACGCCGCATGGTCGGGTGGCGCTAGCGTCAACCTGTACACTAACTGAAACTGTCGGCTGTCGGTAGGTTGAGTACTTAGGTTCGGCATGTCAACAAAATTCGATATTTTTTGCATGCTACAATAGGTATGTTCGGGGACCGAGATTGGGCGCACGCCGTCAACCCGCGCTCGCCTGCGCTCGCCCGAACTTAACCAAAAAACAAGCGTTCTTTGGGTGAACGTGGGCGACCCACGTTGAAAATCAGCTGATCCACTGAGGGTCCTGATTGGCTGGAGTCTCTGTCATCTGTGATGTTGTGGTGTGGATCTCGGACATCTCGGTCCCCGAACATACCTGATAAAAAATAAGGTAGGCCCATGCGCATGTTTAAATGGCTCTAAGCCCTAATCGCCCTAATGTAATTATGTAATGCTCTATTTCAGAATTGTAGAGGCCACTTTTGGCGAAAAAATGAAGACCGCTAGATGGCGCTGATACAAATAATTATTACTTACATGCAGTAGAGCCATGTAATCGATTATAAACCAGCCGCAATATAAGTCATAGATAGAAAATAAAAATTTGGAGCTAAGTACTTCAAAGTGATTGCTATAATTATTATACACGTAAGATTTGTTTGGAATTTAGCTTGGAGCAGCAGAGCGCTCCTTTTTTCCATAGTCAGAGTAATAACTTCAATACATTGACTATATAGAGAAAAAACAAGCGCTCCGAACCAGCGCTCTCAAAAGTGACTGCCGAACTTGCGGGAAATTCAAATTGGCTATATGGAGCAAGACGCAAAACCCCAGATAACTCGACAACATTTCATACACCATAACTTGATAAATTAATCCTAAGCTATTTAACCCAATAACCCAACGCGCCTTAAAGCAGTATCACAAGCTTTAATGATTAATAAAATACAATAAACAATAACGCAAGTGCCAATCACCACACAACCCGGGGCGCTTACTGGCCGCTTTTTTTATTAATTGAATTTGCTTTTTTGCTCATTTCATTGTGAACGTTCATATTGAAAAGGGGGTTCCACTGTCCCGCTAAACTCAAAGTGAGTGAACAGACTGAACAGACTTATACCTCTTTTTCCATCAGGCAACAAAGCCTATGGTCGCAACTATGTTGACTGACAGAGAACACAGTATAGGTCTGTTCAGTCTGTTCACTCAATTTGAGTTTAGCGGGACAGTGGAACCCCCTTTTCAATATGAACGTTCACAATGAAATAAGCAAAAAATGTCTAAGTATGTGAATAGCTCCCTTACACCGTGCTCTCTGTACCAGAATGATATAATCAGAGTTTAGAGGCTGTATGCAGAAACAGAATACAGTTTACAGTGGCCTTTACATTACACAATACTGTTGGCATTGCAAAAGTTTGCATTGTACTAAGCAATTTCAAACGCGATCGTATAGGGAATGCGTATTGATTTCTGGGGTAGGTAGTTTACCGAGAACCTCAAACCTGTATCTTCTGTCAACTTAATCTTAAGTGATGGAATAAAACTGCCCTTTTTTTATTTATTATCAATTAAATATACATGGTAATATACCCCTGCGCTCATCCCCTAGACATTACAAGAATTACCCGTTTCTACACTTTTAATATCAGTGGTGTATCAGTATCTCAAAAGATTCTGTACAAGTGATTCGCAAGTAATTACAGACAAAATGAGTAAGTCAATCGATACTCTATATTTATTTTTTATTAGCTTGCAAAATTATAATAGCAGTTATTACAGTTTTAACAAAATCTTCCATTTCTTAGTGTACAAGCCCAAAGACTGGACCGTTGATTATTTTGTGGCCAATGAGGTTGAATGTCTCAAAATTCTAGACCATCCTGATGCACTGAAAGAAATTCCTTTGCTCAACAGTAATTTACTTGAGCACTTCAAACATGGGCAGCTTGTTCGCTTTCAAGGCATGCTCCAGGACATGCACAACCCAGAACTTTTCTTCAAAAGCTATCAGGTTGTAGACAAAGCGACAGGCGAGGTTAGCACCAGATGTGGCATGTACAAGGACGGTGCTTCTTGTCAGGTACCTAGTAAAATCATAAAAAAAGCAAATTTTATGTATCTGAATGCTTAGTACATTGAGGGCAGATTGTGTTATTAATGTTCCTTCAATTGAGAATCAATTGGCGTTTTTTTTAACTTTATTGAATTTTTGACTATAAACTAATTTTATATTGCTACAACTGTCACTAAAAAATATTGCCAAATCCAATACAGTGACTATTTGAGTTCACAGCATTGTGATAAAAAAAATCACCATTGCTCATACTTACGTAGATATGGCTGCCCTCAATGTCTATAATACGAGTTAGAAAATATTATTGTACTGAGAATGGTCTTTGAGGAGCACAAATTAACGTCCCCGTTGATCAGTTCAACGTTCAGGATAGTGCAAGACCTATAGAAAAATAAAATGGTAGCTACAGGTGTGGGATACTTGAAGCTCAGTTTATTCCATGTATGGTGCCACCAACAAATTTTTTAATGCCACTTAATTTGTTGAATCTCGATTGTACTTCAGGGAGATCTAATTTTTTGATATGTTTTAGAAACATGAAGAAATCTTATCAGATTCAAGCAACAATGAAACTTCAGAAAGGCAAACTTGGTTCGTCATTTCTACTCCAGGGTTGAATGATTGGGCCAAGGAAGAGTGCTCAACAGTACTTGAACACGATGTAACTCATGAAAGTCAAGCTACCTGTCTAAGTAACAAAAGATCTCTGGATGAAACTGATGAGCCGATGGATTGTTCGGAACCGGCCAAAAAAAAGGAAAAAGTTGATACCAACGATCGTGAAGCCGGTCCATCACAGCCGAATGGTAATTCAACTAGCTCCTTGATAGTTTCTAGGGATCATCTTTTGAACTTTCCAATTCCTAACGAAAATGGGAAATCATGCTTGGTTAAAGTAAGTAGTTGATAAGCAATGGATTAATTTGTATACTTCAGAAAAATTTATTTGCTTAATAATTCCTACAGGTATACAAAGAATCTCCTTTTAAACTGAATCAAATTGTCGACATCATTGGATTTGTATCTCTCGATTTGACCGCGAGTTACAACTATAGCTCAGATGAAATAGACAATAGTATGGAAATGCAAACGCATCATCCACCAGCATCGCTGGTTCCACGACTGCATGCAGTCAAAGTAACCAAAGAGTTGAATAATCGATTTCCTGATGCTGCTGAAGTACTTGCCACAGCAGAAAGTGTAAGAGGGGATTTGCGAGTGGTGTTGACTCAGTTGCTTTTTGGAGATGAAATTGCAGCCGATTATTTAATTTGCCATCTCATTTCGTCAGTGTATGTACATGGAGAACTTATAAGTTTAGTATTTTTAGTATTAAAATTTTATTCATCACATCTCTTTTATTGTTGCAGTTATGTCAGAAAAGACTGTTTGTCACTAGGAGCTTTTGCTTTGAATATAACGAATTTCCCTGTCGAGTGTGAAACTTTCACTAAAGACTTCTATGATATTGTGAAGGAAATCATTGCCAAGAGCTATTTCCTGAATATCACTTTGACTAATCTCAATGATTTGAATTTTGTTCCTAAGTATGCATCATAATATTTGTTTAACTGTAGTCTAAATTATATTATACCAAATTATACAATACTTAAATAGAGAAATAAGAATCAGTTTGATAAATTCCAAAGGCTATTAATTTCAGTCTGGATCTATCAATAATTATGAACTATTTTTTCAGGAAAGATTATGAATGTGACAGATTGACAAGTGGAGTGCTGCAATTAAGTAATAATACACATTTAATTCTTGATGAAACTAAATTAGTCACTGGCCAACTGACCACTAGTGGAACTTTGAACTATAAAAGTATATCTGATTTGATTCAGTTTCAGAAGTTATCGTATGATTTTAAATTTTACACCATAGACTACGAAACAGATATACCGATATTAATCTTATCAACAACAAAATCTTTTATTCCGGTAAACTTGTTTTTTTTTCCTACTTTCAACGGTACTGCTAGACCAGATCTTATTGTTGAATAATTTTATTTTAGTGCGAGTTTCAAGTCGTTTTAAAACCAGATCCAGGAACAGTGAAAATTTATCCACAAGTACTTGAAGCAGCCAAACAGTACATGAAAAATGGAACTAGGATCAATAATCTCAGGGCATACGTGAATGCACTTAAAAATGCAGTTTTTTCATTTTCAGAGGAAACTTTGAGTGTAGGTGATAAGAATCGTTTAATCAAACGTAAATAAATTTATTTATTTTACAATGGGATGCTGTTAATTTTTCAGATAATTCAAGAAGATTTTGTAAGATTGAGGCAAGCAGATGGTAAATTTTCGGCTGATAATTTACATTCGCTGTTGGTACTTACTCGACTAATGTCATTATCATACGGTCTTAATACACTTAAACCTGAAATCTGGAAAAAAAGTGTAGAAATGGAAATAGAGAGGACTAGCAGATTACCAAAACGTAGACGAAATTAAGTGTGTATCCTATTACTGTGAATATTCTTAAATTTCACTATCGCATTAAAGTTGTATATTTTCTACTTGTCTCTCTTCTAAATTAATCCAAATTAAGTGTATATAATTTTTTTTTTGCAAATTCAATTTTGTTGGAGCAGTGAAGGATATATTTGTATGCAATTTCTTTTTTATCACGTTAAAAAAGTTCTGGTATCTGGAAATACATTTTTGTAATAACAAATCACATAAATGATCATTATAATTAATTTTTTCTAAAATGTATGCACACACTAAAAACAATTACATCATTTCTGAGTGAAGTCATACTATTATACTTAAGCCCTCTGATAAAATTGTCACAATTTTTTTTCGCAAAATGGGCTCACATCAATTTTATCAAGGCTGAATTGTAGCAAGAGTGTTGCTGCCCTGTTGGCTGCGTCTATTTTGACGAAGTCAACTAATTTGTTATTTATAAATTTACGAGGGATCGCGGCACAAAAAAACTACTCAATTGACAAGTAACTAATTAAAACCCACCTAAAAAAAACAATTTTTGCTGAATTTATCTGAAGGGAGGATAGGAATGAACTGGGTAAAATAAATTTAAAATGCACTGATTACGAGCCACGAACGAAGATATATTTCGTGGCTCAAGGGAAAAACTCCGAAGAGAAAAACCCAAGAGAAGAAAAATTAATGAAAATACAAACGAGTGAGGTTGAACAATAAATTTTGAGATAAATTTCCTGTAATGAAGAGTGTGTGCTTGTGTATTATGTGTAAAAAACGTATACGTGCGTGTCCGCACGTATCTCAAAAAAAACTGACGAATCGACAAACGTCGCACGGTCCGTGAAGCGGATTTTCGCCGTGCTTTACTCGCAGCACGCCGAGCTTCTCGAAGATGATGCAGATGACGATGATGATTACGAAGTGAAGAAAAGCGTGAGAGAAATTAACTCCAAAAAGGTGACTCCCAGATACCCGTGTGCGTGATGATGATAAGAAAAAGATGTAGAAACCAATAGGACGAATATAATACCCAACTATGCCAGATACTCGAGATCGCAGTTGACAACTGTAGACCGCTCTGCATAGATAGTTCGGAATATGTGATGGAATATTTGTGCAAACTCGGTGTGCTGCCACTTTCGGCGTGCTGCGAGGTTGATCCTCCATCGCTCACGAGGCGGTCTACGAATTTTAGTCGTTTCGACTAAACAAAGGCTTTACATGGATAATCTTAAACTATTCAGTAATTATTTACATTCACAGATTTTTAGAAGTGTGTAACACCTGCAGCATTAAAGTCTTTCTTAATAATTCAATGTAACTATATTTTTGTTTATGTTTATATTCAGTAGTTTCAAGGTAGACTAGTGTGGATGTACCGTTAGATAATTCTAAATTATTAATTGATAGGTATTATCTATTTTTATACTTTTATATTTATTGTAATTTTCATTTTATTTTCAATTGCGTATCAAAATTGAATAAAATAAATTTTTTCCCCAATAATTTTATGTAGTGTTTTATTTTTTACTGCTGGTAAAATTTACATCACATTGTTTACACCTCACAAGTAAAAAATACAATTTTTTTTCTTTGCTGCTTTATATGATTCTTCTTGTTATATTAAGTCCGCTGAGTGGATATCAAATATTTCGTTTTTTAAATTATGAATTATAATTGTTCCACTTCTTGTGTATGCTAACTTTATAACAGTAAAAAGAAGTGTGAGAATCATTTTTGATTAGAAAAAAAAAAATAATACGAAAGTCACTTTGATAACTGATGCATAGTGGTCTTGAGTAATAATAAAAATTGTTAACGTTAGATATTGTGAAGGAAATCATTGCCAAGAGCTATTTCCTGAATATCACTTTGACTAATCTCAATGATTTGAATTTTGTTCCTAAGTATGCATCATAATATTTGTTTAACTGTAGTCTAAATTATATTATACCAAATTATACAATACTTAAATAGAGAAATAAGAATCAGTTTNATTTACTAAATGGTTTTAACACAAATGCAACTGGAAATTAATAAAATACTAAATATTCATAAAAAGTTAAAAGTTAATAATAAATACCTGCCAGTAAATCAAATATAAAATTTTCAACTACATAGAATATGATGAGCAAGTTTTTAAATGCAGACGAAAATTATATTGTAATGGTTCGTGAGGAATGTAGATACTTAATAATTTTTCTCAATACACATTGATTACTTTTCATAAAACTTTATTAAAATCACACGTACAGGAGTCAGGAATTCAGCTAATCATAATATCGTTTATTTACATCATTATTTAGTAAAGCTTTATTCCACGAGAACCAAAAATGTATTACTTATAATAGTTTTTTTTACAATTACACTGTAAGTTATATTTCCTACTCTTATGTAAATGATTTACTTCTATTCACGCATTAACAAAATAAATTTTTTCTCTCTTAAATCTTAAAATGATAAAACTGAATTTCATTTTTCTTACAAAAAGTGAAATCAGTGAAAACATCCAATTCTTCAGTCAATCGAAGTTGTTTTACGACAAAAATCACTCCGAGACCTGATCATTGAATTATTGGAAATTAAACTTGTTTTCTACTTTCTTTCTGAAATTTTCTGAAAGTTTTGCATTTAATAGAATTTTTGTTAATTATATTGTAAACGAATAGTATTACACATGTAGTTGCATATTTTTTTGTTTTGATTATCAATATAATACAATTTTTAATATATGTACATACACAAGACTTTTCATTTTCATCCATTTACCAATGTATTGGATCACAAAATATCATCAGTTTTTCTTATTGAAAAAATTAAGGTACTTACTCGACTAATGTCATTATCATACGGTCTTAATACACTTAAACCTGAAATCTGGAAAAAAAGTGTAGAAATGGAAATTTTGCATCAGGCAACAAAGCCTATGGTCGCAACTATGTTGACTGACAGAGAACACAGTATAGGTCTGTTCAGTCTGTTCACTCAATTTGAGTTTAGCGGAACAGTGGAACCCCCTTTTCAATATGAACGTTCACAATGAAATAAGCAAAAAATGTCTATGTGAATA